CGTACACATTTTCGTAGTTTTTGGGAGCCGAATATGATCAACTTTTGGTGGCGAAGTTGTGCGCCCTACTGAGTGCCCCTCTAGTTTTAAATATGCGATAGATAAAACCAAAGAGTGATGTAACGAACTTGGAAATCCTCAGCCGATTTTGGTGGCTCAGTGGGCTTATAACGCCAAAAATCGGGTTATGACATCCGCAGTGGGAAGAGCACAGATCGTCCATTGTGTAGCTTTGCGCTTTATAACATACAAACAAACGATTTTGGTACCCCACCGGAAGCGGTCGAGGTGTTCCAAGAGCTGTGTAACGCTTCCGCTCGAGATGAGTTCACAGATTGCGTGCGCATTACAGATTCCTAACTGGTGTTACAACTAGGGTGACTGTCCTTACATTTTGTATTTGTCTCTAACCGCAAAAAAACCTAGTAAATATAGTAAAATCGTGTGCAACACATAGAAAAATGTGCCGTGTTGCGAGAATAATCACGGTGAAAACGACCTACGACGACTCATTGGCGAGTGTACGAAATGTTTAGTTTTGCCGCTATTCACCTAGGGATTTTACGCACCCGATGGATACTCGGGGAACGTCAATAGAACAAAATGGGAAACGCCCGGTTTGTCTTATAAGTGATATTAGCGATCTTTTACTAGTCAATTTGTCAGATGTTATCGAGTGTGGTGACTTTGATGGAATTATTCCTAAAGCAGCTGTAGTTTTCACGTGCTTTGAAGTACTGAGTCACTATGACTTCTGACGTATTTTTAAAGGCATGTTTCTACCTTCACTGAACCGGCATAAGGTTGAAGTAAAAAGCGGCGAACAAATAAACCTACACGTGGCTCAATCGGGAGTTTTATGAAAATTTGTGACGCTACTAATCTCAGTTCGACACGCACATTACAAAAAAAACAACATATCTCTAGTTAGTAATATCGCCAAATTATCCGCTAAGTGTGACTACTCAGATGTGTTTGTTTTCATTATTTTATACTTCGTTAGTTATTATGATATATAGACCACAACATAATTAATTAAATTTAACAAGAAAAGATAGCGCGAACATAACAATTTTGACTGCCAAATATGTTTGTAGAATTATTTCTGGTTCATTTGGAGAAAAAAAAAATTATAAATTCACAAGTACATTTCAACCTTTATAGTCATTATACAAGATACCATATTTTTCGGTGTATAAGACGCACTTTTTTACCCCAAAATTTGATGTCGAAATCTGCTTGCATCCTATGTATACATGTATGTATGTATATATACGATATACACAAGCCATGTGTAAATATATTTAAATAGGCATGCATAGTTTAGTTCAATTGAATGTGTTATTTATAACAATAGTAGTTTTTTTTCTTTTAAAAACATAACTATTTATAATGCTCCATAAATACTAAAAAAATAAATTACAGTGAAAGCAATGAAGATTTTGTAGGTTTTGAACCAAACTAAATAACAGTAAACCTTTTTTTGATTTACGGTATTTTATTATTTCGAGCTCGTTTGTGTTTAGAACAATATATATACTAATTTTTAAAGTATCAAATTGAATTTTTGTTTAATACAAATCTTTCAAATGCGACTGTAGCTTTTTTTCCCCAAAAAAACTTTTTTTTTTCAAAATAAGGGTGCGTCTTATATTCCGAAAAATACGTTAATAGTCAAGACTTCTTGTGTGTGTGTGTCTGGGAGGGGGTGTAAATAAAATGTTTACAAAAATCATTATTGGAAAAACCCAACTGCAACTGTTTGTACATCACGTATCGTAAAAAATAAATCAATCAAACAGGGCCAGGTGTGGCCTACGGTTCGTGTGCTGCACTCCGAATCAGAGGATTTATAGTTTATAATCCATGGTTACAAAAACACGCTCCGCATCTTGGGCTCGTGAGTAGGTTATAAGAATGACGACTAAGTCCCATTATTCGATTAAAGTAGCCCAAAAGTGGCGGTGAGTGCTGTTAACAGATTGCATTCACTTTAGTCTGTCAGTTCAAAACTAGGGGCGAGCTAGCGCTGATAGCCTTTGTACAGCTTTATGCGAGTACTTGAAACAAACAAAACCATACAGTACATTGAACCTATATATCTATATCAGGATCAAATACTTCAATTTACTATTTGTCCTATATTTTAAACTAAAATTAATATTGGTTGTCAGTTCTTTTTCTTTTCTTTTACATATAAAAGAAACTATAAATATGTATACAAATAAAAGTAGACTAAGTGAAGCCTGAATTACTAGAATTATAATGAAACATGGCGATCCTCTAGCCTCATCATGTGTAAAAGCCGGTTGTATGACTTACAGGAACGCACTGGACTCACATTCCATATATGGGCATCATAGTAATGCTGGTTTCTGATTGGACGCTTTTGGATATAAATTCTGTAAAAACGACTTGTGCTGGCAGTACAATCAACCAATTGAGAACTCTCGACAGAAGGTGGTAGATTCGCATTACCATATATGGTAAAAATTTGAGACTGTCTTTCTCAACTCGACAGAACCCGTACACTGTATTTTTTTCGAGTATTTCTCGTGTGCTAACTTTTATACATGTTTTTTATATACAATATTTTTTTGGAACTTTTCCAACAATTCTTTGAAAAAGCTACGCAAAATAAGTAAAATATTTACACTTTATAGTCACATATATATATACAAATCAGCATAACATGCTACTAATAATTTCCAAATATTTTAAAAGTTATAATAAATAAAATCAAGGGTACTTTAAATAAGACAAATTTATCGTATTTTTAACTATAACGATGATAAAATATTATTAATTTCTACTCTAGGTTTAATCTCTCTTGCATGCCGATGAAAATTTAAATCTTTTAGCCTTATTTTATCGTAATATTTCAAGATTTTCTTATTTATGTAGCAGTAGTTTCATATTTTAGCTAGGTTCGCCACTGTAGTGGTGATGTCATTGGCGGAAGAACATTAAGTGGGCGTGTATATATATGACGGAGCCGGTGGTGGCTAGCTCACTTGAGTTTCTCTCTCTGTTCGTGTGGTTGTTGTCAGTTTAACCGTATTACTATTACTAGTCGAATTAATATTTTCACGAGTGTATGACTAGCCAAACAATATTACTATTAGTAGATTATTCACGCGAGCTTTCAGGTGTATTCTATTTTTAGGTGTGGGTGATAACTTATTGGAATTTGTAATACACACATCTAAATTCTACTGTTTTTAATCTTAACTTCAAGATGGCAGAATACTTGTTGTAATATGTATCTATGTATGTAGAAAAATGCAAAGGTTATAAAATAAAGAAATTAGCCTTAGTGAGAAAAAAAAATCGCCTTTAAAAACTATGATAGTAATTTATTTACTTGACGACGTTTCGAGAAAACGCCATTTTTCAAGTCAGAAACAAATTAAGAAAATCTCCATCAAAATACTCCGTTTTATAAACTCGTGATGTAAATACTGATCTAGCTAGACTATCATAGTTAGAATACAACAAAAACTTGTGCTCTGTTTACCTGATGTCTAGGCCGGCCCACAATTGATGGAAACACGGCACGAGGGGCATCGTCTCCGGCAAAGCCGGCCTTACACATACCAGAACCATTGTCAACTACCAGTGCTGCTACGTCTTCGTCACACATGATGATTAATTAGTTTGCTTCTGATCTACTACAGAAGTGGCGAGTGTTAGTCTTAACGAAGACTGTCGCGCGTTGTTAATATTTACTGGGATTAGGGAATGTTGTAAATGTCAGGGAAAATATTAAGCTTTCAAACAAATTGCGAGTACATGTCCATACAAAAGTCTGTTAACAATGAATTAGTCTATCTGGTGACTATTAATTAATTTATCCTTTATGGCGACATTTAACATAATATTTATTATTCGTTGACGAGGGACCCACTTTTAGACTAATAATGCATGCCGTCTCCAAGCATTAATAATATTTATTAATAACATGTATCGGATTGGACCAGAAGCAGAGTAAAGAAGTAGAAAGGAAAAGATGTATGAGAAATACACGTAGTCCTAATGTACGTAAAGAATTTTACGAACTCTTAAAATGTGTAACAGATAACGTTCAAATGTTTTCCGCAATTGAGCTAACACTTGTATATTACTTCTGAATGTCGTCAGACGATTGGGTTTGACGTATATTACAACTTCAACTGTATCTAAATAAACGAAAACTGCATGGAATTGGAACAGTATTTCTATTTGTGTACCCATAATTAGTACATAACCATAACTATTTTGTTATTTATAGATAAGTCTATGATGCTTACAAAAACACAATTGATTAGCGGGTTGATTTTTTAAAGTCCAATTTTAGCAATTTATAGTTTAGTATACTACCTCAAAAACAAACCTCATAACTACCCGATGGCTTTCAATTAAAAGTGTAGTGGGGAAGATTTTCCTCGATTATCTTTTATGAATAAATTTAACAAAAGATGTCGCTTCTACCTACAATATCACTAAACAGCGTTTTTGAACTTAAGGTTAGAAAAATTTATATAGTTTTATGCGGAACTCAAGATTCCGTTTAATTAAGGGCTGTAAGGTCACACTTTACAAACTATACTCAAGAATTAAAAACTCTTCATATTCTCCGTTATAAGTTTGAATTTATAACAAGTCTTAACGTTTTCGAAATTCACGCTACGCTAAGAAATTACAAACAAACAGGACAATTTGCTATTTAAACAAATTAGAGTAATATTTGTTAAAATTTTAGTTTTAACTGTAATTACTATTAACATTTAAGTTGGTTAAAAACAACAGTAATTAGTTCTAGGTGGGAGGTTAGTGTTCGTTACATAGGTAAGTGTAAAATGCTGGAGAATAGGGGGGTCATTGATTAAGTTCCGTTGTTTAATCATTGCAGTAGGTTTGATGTTTCTATATGTCAATGCTTTAGCGTTCTGGGACTGCACCTAAAGTCTTCTAATCTTTGAATAAATTGTATATTTACCCATAAATTTGCTTTCAAATGACTATACATTTTCTTTCTAGGGTGTGATGGTTGGTATGGGCCAAAAGGACAGTTATGTCGGTGACGAGGCCCAAAGTAAGCGTGGTATTTTAACCCTAAAATACCCCATCGAGCACGGTATTGTAACAAACTGGGATGACATGGAAAAAATCTGGCACCACACTTTCTACAACGAACTCCGTGTAGCCCCAGAAGAACACCCAGTCCTGCTGACGGAGGCCCCACTTAACCCCAAAGCCAACAGAGAGAAAATGACCCAGGTATGCATGTTTTGTTGCAATAGTTATATTATGCGAATTTTTAATGTATCTTCTGAAAACATTTTAAACCTTTATTTGATATGTACTTAACTTAAATACAAATACTTTTTTGTAAAGATATAGACGGTTCAGACCCCCCCCCCCTTTAATAAATGTTCTTTTTTCACAAGTTAATAAGTAGGTAAACTTGAATATTTTCAGATCATGTTTGAAACATTCAACACCCCAGCCATGTACGTAGCCATCCAGGCCGTGTTGTCATTGTATGCTTCTGGTCGTACCACCGGAATCGTGCTGGACAGTGGTGATGGAGTCTCCCACACTGTCCCCATTTACGAAGGTTACGCTCTCCCCCACGCCATCCTTCGATTGGACTTGGCTGGTCGTGACCTCACAGACTACCTCATGAAGATCCTGACAGAACGTGGCTACAGTTTTACAACTACTGGTAAGTTATATAAACTTGATATTAAATAAATATCTGCACCACAAAAACAAAGGGGAGATCCCTAAAAGTAAGCCTGCAGGCTAGCTTACGATGCTATAGTTCGGGTTTCGATACCCGTTGTGGGCAAAGCGCAGCCCATTGTGTTTAACTAAACAATGTTAACCCAGGAAGGGTTTTTAGGATCGGTTATTTAAAACAACATCGCACACACTTCCCTAATTGTTAAAGTAGACAGTTGTAAAAGTGAATAATAATGACTGTACATATTATTCACTGGTGAGAACTAGGACTTTTAATTAGTCCTAAGTGGTCTAATCATTAATCGCAAACTTTCGGTTAAACTCGTGCTTTGTAGTTGGTGAATGTATTAGCTTCTAATATGTGTTTTAACCTATTATAATCTATCTTGTAGCCGAACGAGAAATTGTCCGTGACATTAAAGAAAAACTTTGCTATGTTGCCCTGGACTTCGAACACGAGATGACGACTGCCGCTTCCTCCTCCTCTTTGGAAAAATCGTACGAGCTGCCCGATGGTCAAGTAATTACTATCGGTAACGAGAGATTCCGTTGTCCCGAAGCCATGTTCCAACCTTCCTTCTTGGGCATGGAAGCCTGCGGCATCCACGAGACTACTTTTAACTCCATCATGAAATGCGACGTGGATATCCGTAAGGACCTGTATGCCAACACGGTGTTGTCTGGTGGAAGCACTATGTTCCCAGGCATTGCTGATAGAATGCAAAAAGAAATTGGTGCACTTGCCCCCAGCACAATGAAAATAAAAATCATTGCACCCCCCGAAAGGAAGTATTCCGTTTGGATCGGGGGCTCCATTTTGGCTTCGCTGTCTACATTCCAACAGATGTGGATATCCAAACAAGAATATGACGAATCCGGACCTAGTATCGTCCACCGCAAGTGTTTCTAAAATAATCATTCCAAATTGATATTAAATTCGAAAGATTTCTTTGGAGTCGTTTTAAGTTATGAATGAAAGAAAAGTGTAAAGGAACAGTAAGTTGTGGCTTAAGTTTCAAAACACTGTTCTATAGTGTTTTTTTTTCTTGCAAAGATATAACGTCAGCAAGAACTGATCTGAGTAAACTTGAGTCTAGTGAACAAGATATGAACTATAATGCTTTGTCTGTTACACAGTTGGATTACTTTTTTTTTTAAACTTTATAAAACAATATCCAGTAGACACCCGTCTTGTCACTTGTATGAAGAACGGTAAATGATGAAATTGACACGTGACGAATATGTAAGGACTTCTTGTATTAAAAGATGTTTTGAGCATCTCGCTTTTTGTTGTACATTAAAACAGAATAATAAAAGAATTGAAATGATTGGTAAACGTTGGTGTTTTTTTTTTGCTTCATAATTTTGTGTTATTGCAAATCTAGTTTCTGCGGGTCATAGATGTGGAAATAAGATGAATATATCCACACATTCAAGCTTATATCCGTTTCTCTAAAATATAACAAAACAAAGCTTACTTGAAATTCACATTAGCTTGTACAAATTGTTATAATAATAATTGTGATTTATAATGATAACCTTATCTTTGAAATATCTTTTAAAGTAGTAATTTTCCCCCACCTACCCAGAGGCAAAGTAGAAGTTATACAGAAAAGTATGGATATTATACAGGGTGTTTATAAACCTGTAATATAATCCACACCAAAATTCCCCCCTTCTTTATTAAAAGTACGAAATTGGTGGCTTTAGTGCGCGTCTATTGCGTAATAGATGTTTCCCCTTCCTTATCAATAGTACAAAATTGGTGGCTCCAGTGCGCGTCTATTGCGGTAATAGATGTTTTCTTACCAAGATGTAATGATTTAAGGTAAAACACCTTTTTCACCAATGTCTAGTAAACATGCTTGCAACTTCTCAAGTAAAATCTGAAATTCTCTGTGTGCCTCGGAAATTCAGGGCAAGTAGTTCTTGAGGTATTTTTTTTTTAAACGTTTATTACTAACCACCGTACATAATAAATTCCGAACGACCAGCGTTCCATGTGGATGTTGTTTATGCCATTCAAACGAAAAGTACCGAAATATTATGTATGTTTCATCCTGTTTACAAAGTGCAGTCAGTGGTTTAATTTCTGGAATTCTAGGGAAGATTACGTATTACGTCTTTTATCATTTTTATTTTCTTAAGCTAAGAGAATGCTAGAATGCTCCGTTGAAGTGCAGGTGTTCGTGGTATACCAAACAGAAGTGAACGTAGCATTACCCAGCATTCCATACGGTTGCTAACTCCCGTGCGAGTCTATTTCATTGCCTTATATGGTCATGTTGAAGCAGAACATCCGGCGATGACCTCAACAGACGGTGTGGCAGATCGGGCTTATCGATTCATGTTAGCCGGGCAGGGCTTACACGGAACAAATATTTTTCGCCAATCTTGTGACTCGGGGGGCATTTATGCTGAATTGCTGTATCACGCGGGGAAGCTACCGGTTCCGCGTGAGGTGGCAGTTTCAAGAAGAAAAAAAAAGTATTGGCCACGCAGTAATTAAAAAAAACTACAAGTACATGCATTCAACTGTATTTTGTATATATGTAAAAACAAACTAACATAGATTAAAATGGACTAAGGGTACTTTAAAAAAATACCAACAAAACTGTAAAGGTGTGTGATATTTTTTTGTTCTTTAGTTATAAAATATGCTGGATGTTCGGACTTAGTATTATCAACTCTCGTGTTACTGAAGTAAATATTTTTAACTGTTTATAGGATTTCTCGAAGTTTGTGTTCAACTATTTTCAGTTAACATTTCTCATCGAATAAGAGCGTTTCTGTTAATTATGTTCGCTTAGATTTTTATCCAGAATAAATAAATTCGTTATTTTAATACGTTTCACCAGTAGCAAATTACACATTACTCGTTAGGCCTCGGGTACTACTTGAGATAAACCGTCTAGTTTGTATTGGTTTCTTGTTTGAAAGGAGGCGAAAATGAACGACTTTTATTATCCTGAATTGCAAATGTTAACTTACGAATTGAAGCCTAAAGTTGGAAATTAATTTTATCATGTTAAAACAGAGTATCATTGACACATGCATGGGTTACAAACGAAGAAAATTCTTATTATGTACGAATCCAATTTTATTGTATTATTTGTGGGAAGTTTGGTACATCAGTTGAGTCCCAAAAATTTAAATGTTTTTTTTAGCGTCATCATGCGAGAGAAGGCTTAGTCTCTCTCTCTCTATATATATAACAGCTCAATAATATCGATCCGATCCTCTGCATTAGCCAGGACTTTCACAGCTGTGAAGTAAGTACATTAATGTCTACAACTAGCGACGAACCGATGTCTAGACAGAAGAAGCCCAAGTAGGAACTTGAAATAATTGCTCGTTTTTTTTTTAGCTTATGGATTTTTTTTCTTTCGAAGGAATAGCGTTTTCCCTCCATTCGAAACATCTCAACTAATTCTGATACAGTAAATAACTTATGTTTAACTGATGGATTTTCTGCAACGGTTTAACGAACGTGTAACAACGAAATTCACGGTATTGTTGATTAATGTCGGGATTGAAATCACCATTGTTAATTCTTCTTAAAACGGTATTTCGTAACAATATTCTACAGTATTTCGTAACAATATTCTCGTACCAGCTTCTGTTCGTTACCGGCCAGTGCATCTACGAAGAAGCGTTTAATCTCAATTTGACAGTTTTATCAACAAACCACTTGTAATTTTCTATTACGTAATCTGATGGGTGGTTATCTTTACCATCATGAACACACGTTATTTTCAGAATACTAACGATACAAAATACTCTATTGTGTCCAAATTATTCTTTAAAATACAGTGTTTTGTTTGTTTTTTGACAACAACAACAACAACAAAAAAAAAACAAACAAAAAAAAACGCTTATTTCACAAGTATAACACCCAGTTGCACAATATCGTGCAGAGAATGAGATTATTATTTTTGGCGCCCTATCGGCGGCCTTATGTAAGATTGAAAAATCCTATTTTTTTCTGACGTAGGTGATGGCTATCAATACAGGTTACAAAGCTGTATTAAGGAAAACATTTTTCTTGTATTTTATAACAGACAGTAAGTACTGTTGCCTATACACTAGGTTTAACCAGGTACTTAAAGTCTACAACACTAGAGGTCGTTACTTATTAAAAACAGAAACTATCGTATTTTATGTAGTTTCGTCAGCTGATATGTAATTCAGTAGCTACTTTCCGTGCCCATCCATGGTTTTTCTGGTTACCCCCTCCATCATCTTCAGCGTTTAGTTTTGTTATTTTTTCATTGAAGCTTATAAATAATAATACCGACAATTAAGATTAGCGACACAAAAACCGTTTATTGCTTAACGCAATAAAAATATAACTGTTTATTAAACAGACATCATAACAAGTCATAAATGAGAGAAATAAAATTACAGAGGTGCAAGACTGTCACATACTCTCCTAAAATGACTTTGAAACAAATCGTGAATGTATGGTTGTGATTACAGTTCATATCATGCAATACAAATTTACTTCAGAGTAACGACAGCGCCATCTATTGACAGGTTACAGAATCTTTCTAAGTTTGTTTCATTCCAAGTTAGGAAGATCTGAAGAAAGAAAGCAGAAAAAATAAAACAATCTCATAGGAAACAAATTACGGCGTGTATTTAACACTATGACGTACGATATCTGCATATTTTTAGGTCAAGAAGATTTCCATTTAAATCTAAAAACCACTGATATTCAAACTTTAACAAGGACTTACCATATCTCAGATATAGTTCACTTAGATTATTACTAGTTTAGGTAGTTTAGTAACGGCGGGGGAAAAGACATTTTTGTCTGTTATACTTCTCTTCATAACCATTTTATTCAATATCTTGGAATTAATCAACAAGTAAAAATGTAACTTCAGTAAAAACATTTCAAGATTACTTAAATTATAATAGGAAATATTACAAACTGATGTTTAAGTTGCAACAATTTTTGTTGTTGTTGATTTAATCGTTTTCTTACTACTAGTTTATACCACCTAAATCTATTTATATAGACCATGTACCAAATTTGGAAAAACTGTTACATTATCTTCACTTTGAACTCGTTACAAGTCAAGTTAGTTACATTAATGTTTGTTAGAAAGTTCTCTCTCATTGATTCATGATATGAACTTAAAATAAGAGTAACAAATATATATTATTTGTGTACTTGTCGTTAAAATACGTTATGGGTGACAAGAGAATAGCTTGTACAGCAATAGGCCTTGTTAGCCAAAGGTTCTGGGTTTAAACGTGAGTCTCAGAGTTTCTTTCCACTTACAGTAATGTGCGTTACAAAGTTTCCTTTCATGTTTCATAATACAAATTAATTACAAACTGTTGTATGATCTTAATGGATTACCAATAAAAATTCACAGACATCTTCACTTTGAACATGTTAAAACTGAAATTAGTCTGATGGTTTTTACATAACTTAAATATGTACAACATTTCGAGAATTTCTGGTGTTTTATAATGTTTGTTTGTCTGAGTCATAGTTTTTAATCTATGTATAATAACCAAATCTCATAGTCAAAAGTGGGGAGGGGGGGGCACTAAAACAGAAAAATTACTAGCTAAATTTTATAGTTATGCACGAAAAGAAATTATAACTTATACAGTGTTAAAAGCTGAACCATAAACTACCAATAGGGATCCATATCCCCATTAGCTTTTTAAACTGCTAATGCTTGTGGGTTCATGAATTTGGTGGTTATGAATCGCACAGAAAAATGTAAACAAAGATACCATCAATAAAAAAACTAATTCCACTAATACTCCAGAGATTCTCTTTGTATTTTAAATAGAAAACAGATTATATCATTCAGTTGTTTTATCAGTTCTTTACATTGAGTGTTATAACATAACTTGTCCAACATGATGCAAAATGTGGTCCCCACTAACAGCAACTAGCATAGAACCAAGTTAGCAACTTGACGGTTAAAATTTCACCTATTTTGGATTTTAAAATTTTAAGTAAAAACAACTGAACTATGACTACATAATGTAGCAGTCTCACACCAGTTCACTTAATATAAAATTGTCATTATTAAACTTTATATTCAAACACCAACAGAACACATTTAGAAGGGTTAAACCAAAGGCATGTGAAAGATCCATGCTTGTTTGTAGAGAAGAAACTTAGAAATAAAAAATGACAGGTTTTGGATGGACTAGTCTTTATACAAGATCTGGTTCAATAGAAATATAAGCCATTTTCCATTAAACTACAGCTAATACTTAATGTACTTCCTAGCCAACTATGCTGTAGAATTACGAGACTGATAGCACTAGTGATACCAATTAATTCTCAACAGTCTTTAAGAGGTCACTGCTGTTGGCAAGAGTATCATATATTTTCTTGCCTGATTTCCAATCTGTTTTACCACAAAGCTACACAATAAGTTATCTGCAATCTGTTCACCAAGGGGAATCAAACCCTGGATTTTAGTGTTGTAAGTCCATAAACTTACAGCTGACCCATTGCGGGACTATATTTTCTCCAAAGTAAAGGTACAAGTTCTTGACTCATTGAAACTAAATCTTCCTGATAAAATTTTTGTAATTATACTAACAATTCATAACTTATCTATTTGGGGATTTTTTTTTGTTCTCAAACAAGAAAATAGAAATACAATAATAAAAATGTGAAAACTTAAAAAAAAATCTTACCCTCATCATCACTGTCTAATTCTTTATCCTGCAAAGCAAAAATAATATCAATAAATCCATTGATCACTGTTACAAAAAATAATACATGTGGCAGTAAGCAACGAAGCCTTAAAAAACTTTAGTGTATAACTAACATTAAAAAAAACCAGGTTTATTGATTATTTAACATAAATAAAAAATGTTATTGTACAGTTACCATAAAGCCTAAAAAAAATTCAACATTTTGAATGGAAATGTTTTTAAAAAAGTTCACAATGTGAATAAGTGAATAGAATCTTAACCACTGGATGTTAAAACTAACTATGTATGTGATGCACTGTATAAACTGTTAACAAAAATATTTTATGGAATATTTTATAACTCAGAGTTAAAAGGATAGTAAATAAAAACCATTAAGAACTACAATATAAAATGCCCTTAAATAATACTAATATCATGTACAATTTTAATGGATTTCTAGTAAACAAACTATAAACTAGGCAACATTTGTGTACATTACTTTCTGAATACGTAGCTCAACATAAATATACATATACTAGAGAAATAAAATAACTTGTCATTGAAAATATTCATAAGTGAAAAAGTAACCTTATGTGGCAATGCTAATATGCTTTGGTAATAAGATCTACAACACACATTTATTTAAATTGGGTAAAATACGATGTAACTACAAGTTTAAAAATAACTTGGATACCACATTTTTTGTTGCCACCATTGTGCCTTAGTACAAAACTGATCTGTGATGTTTTGTCAAATCCCTGGTAAGATATTCAGACATTTAATGATTTAGATCATTGTGGACAAAATTAAACTGAATTCTGTCGATCTTAGTAGATGTTAAAATGATAAAGAAACAAAAAGTTCATTTGTTTTAAGTGGAAGTGGACAAAATTCAAGCTCATTGTTATCTTATAACTTCATTTTGCTACTGGTCACATGGACAGAAAAGTGATCTCGAAAGATATGAGTGAGAAGTCTAATGATTTTTTATCATCAGTCTACTATGTACTTCATACTTCAATGAAGTGCAAAATCCAAGACTATCAATCACAGAAATTGAAAAAAAAATTTAAATATTAGTGCCACGGATATCTTTAAATAAATTTTTTTAACGACAAAACTTACCAAGGCTGATAAATCACCACCACCACTATCATCAAGTCCACCCATCTGTCTCATCATCTGAAGAAAAGATGATCAAAATTACATAAATTTCTAATACCAATACTCACTTAAATGACAATGTTATAGTTGATAACTATATGTTTTTCATTAAATAAACATAGCCTATGGACAACAACAGACTATCAATTCCCCCTCTTAAGCTCCTGTCAAGTGCTGGCCATTCATTCTATATGTCAGTCAACATGTTAAAAATTAAACTGTCTTAACTGGGGTCTAGCACATATTTTTCCAAATCTTTAACTTGTGTTCTCTCATTCTATTATCTTCAGAACATAGCTTGTTTGTTTGTTTGTTATGGATTTCGTGCAAAGCTACACGAGGGCTATCTGCGCTAGCCATCCCTAATTTAGCAGTGTAAGACTAGAGGGAAGGCAGCTAGTCATCACCACCCACCGCCAACTCTTGGGCTACTCTTTTACCAACGAATAGTGGGATTGACCGTCACATTATAACGCCCCCACAGCTGAAAGGGCGAGCATGTTTGGTGTGCCGGGGATTCGAACCCGCGACCTGCAGATTGCGAGTCGAGCGCCCTAACCACCTGGCCATGCCGAGCCAGAATATAGAACAAAGAAATTGCATGCATTTATCCTACTAATCCCCTGAATAATCTTGTAAAGATCAATAAGATCACCTCTTACCCTTCTTTTCTCAAGATAAAATCAATTAAAATAGCCCTTACATCTTCAGAGTCATCCTAGCAGCCCTCCTCTGAACAACCTTTTCCATAAATTCAATATCCATCATATTTTCATTGGAGCACACAGAAAAGTAAATGCTGGAATTTCTTAATTAATAAGTTTGATCAAACCAAAATAACCTGTGACACCAAACCTAGCACGGTGGTAAGAAAGTTTCATACAACGATGTTTCTGATTATTAAATTGATGCTGAATAAATATTATTATTATTATTGCTCATTTGATTTTGGAAATTCACACAAAGCTACTCAAGGACTATCCAAGCTAACTAGAAGGAAGGCAGCTAGTCCACACCACCAACTCTTGGGCTACTGTTTGACCAATGAAAAATTGGACTGACCATCAGATTATAATGTTCCCGTGGCTGAAAGGGTGAGCATGTTTGATGATGGAAAATATTATTAAGTTCAGAAAGTATCATAATAAGACATGTTTAACATGATTCACACAAGATTGCAGTAACAACTAAATCAAATGTAATCCAAGTTTTATATCTCTGCTAATTACCTCTTCAAAGTTGGTTCCTGAATTAAGTTCATCCTCAGACTCATCTTCATCCGCCCATTTGTTAAAATCTACTTTTAGCCAATGATGCTAAAGGAAACAAAATGATAAAAAAAGAGAGAGAGATATAGAATTTTTGATATTTACAAGAAAAAGATGAATTCAAAAAACAAGGAATAAATAAAATAAATAATGAATTAAAATCTAAAATGACAACGCACTAAATGTTTTCCCTGATAATATTATAATAATCCTGCACTGCAAACGAAACTTCTACGATCCCATGACTAAACTTTTGACAGTAAATAAAGTATAAAAGTATCGCAGTAGGTTTTACTACAGAAACAATAGGCTGCCTTAATTCTTCCCAGTATATTAATTATATTATTCAGCATATTTTCAAAGCACAAAATTGCTATTCTGGAAATCATATTTTTAGTTTAAATGATTTTGTAGACAAAATGAATAAGCAAGACTATAAAATGAAACAAAATCTACAAAAACATTCACAATCTGTCTTCCTCAGGAACAAGGAGCTTAATATTTACTGTTTACCAAATTTAGACTTGTAATTACCTTTTCAAAATAAATAGGTAAGTATTACAATAATAGCATCAAACTTTAAGTGAACATTTCAAATGTAATTTTAACTCACTTGACTGCTGTTTCGCCGTATGGGATATGGTCTGCCTCCAGCAGTTGAATGCGAGTGTGTTGTATAGAGTGTACGGCTCACCAAAATTCCATGCGTGTTTAAAGCAGATGCAGTCAAAGGGGGTAAGAAGTGAATTTGTAACAATTCAATAATTTTTAATAAGAACACTACACTGAAGTTGGAGTGTCTCATCACAACAGGTGTTACAAATTGCAAAATAAAATCAAGAACATTAAAAAGACTAAAGAAAAAGAGTCCTGCTATCACCTTCTTATCATCTTTTAGTAACCTGCTCCAATATGGACCTTCTTCACTTTTGATAAGGATAAATTCAATTCCTCTTCCACGTACTGCATACCGTGATTCCTTAGAGGGGAAAAGATACTCGTATGATTCAGCACACCCATATAAAACATTAGGTAATGACCAATTATAATTACAGCAATATTTTTTATCTATATATATATGTTGAACTGTACAAAGCCCGTGATGCTCTACCACACTGCTAATAAAGAGGAGGAACAGTACAGACAGATGGATTAATTACATCCAAGTATTCAAAACCATGAAACTTTGATTCATCTTAAATATTTGACCCAATCAACTGTCTCAGTTAAGTCCTCAAGTGTAAGTAGAAGTTCTTGAATAAAATTAAAATATCAAATTTTTAATAGTAAAAAACAAGTTTATCAGCAAAATAAAAACAGTTTTGGCAAAAGTTAAAAACTAAACAAGCCAAAAACACAAGTCAAGAGTATACTATACACATGTTCACCAATATTCTTGGAGTTATTGGTTCCCTCCAGTCCCCATGAGGCATGGTTAGGAGGTTTGCATGGGCCCCTTGCCTTTTAGCTGAAGTTCAGACAGTCACCGAATGGTCAACGTAACATGCTCATTAATACTTTTTGACTGAAATTAATTTTTTTTATTTATTAAGAACAAGTAATTTATTTCCAGGATCACAGATGAGCCATCAACAAATGTTTAGCTGCACTTATTATATTTTACCTGTGCATAATAGTAGCTTAATGCTTTCACGATAAGTCATTTTGTATTCCAAGAAGCCAAAGAAAATTGGAAAATTTCATATTTGATTAGTTAATTGAATATTTTATAGAAGAAAAAAAAACAACCTACAAACCACATGTCAAAGTACACCCATATGGTCCCCCGAAAAGAAACAGTGGGTACACCAAGTATGTCCTTACGGTAAGCAAAGGGTGAACATGCATGTGTCAGTTCAAGAATTTCAAAACAGTTTTTGGTACGTAGATGATGTAACTACAGTACACTGCCATCTTTAATAATTAAGATTACAATCAGAAGCTACTGATAAGCTCAAAAGAAATGTGAGTAAGAATAAAATTAGTTAAGTATTATGATAAAGGAAGGAAATCCTATTTTTAACTTTTTAAATTACCAAAAACTGAAATACCGTAAAACTTTACCTCTGGTTTTATTTTCTTCAAAAATTCTAGGACTACTTCTTGTTCTTTGTTCTCTGTTCCTCCTTTTCCCCTATAGGAAAAAAAAAACAAAATAAAAAGCATAAAACAGGAGAAAAAAAAAGTAAAAAATATAATCTGTTTCACTTAATTTTGAAGCTTCATTTGTTTATAAAATACACAAAAAAGTAACAAATATGGAGTCATAATGTTATCCACTGCTACAGTACTTAAATAGGTTAAGTAAATGTCCATGGGGTTGGTCTAATAGGTCGACCCCGTATTGTAGAAGAAATGTGGGCTCTAATTCTAGATCTACTATGTGTACCTACACGAAATGTGACAAGCTTTTAGTAAAATGTACAAGATCCTTAAAAATACATATCTACAGTCTTTTTTTTTCAGCATCCCTGTACACTCAATCTTTATTTACTCTCATCTGCCACAAACTGTCACTGAATCAGTAGTGTAGGTTAAAATGAATAGTTGGTAACTCTGACATCAAATACATAATACCATGTTGCATAACACTCTGTAAAAAAATGCAGCATGTGCATATTGACCGGTAATCTAAAGTATAACTACAACACGTCACACTTTATCATAAGTAGTTGACCTTAACCTTTCAGTGTCAGATGCAGTTTGAACTATAATCTCCAAATGTTATTTTGTAAAGACCTTAAAACAAAATTCTTACAGTTTAAAGTTTTAACAGAGTATATTCATTAACTTTTAACAAAAGCAAATTATTTAGCAGTTAACAAAATAAAAGGTTAAAACATTCTGTAAAATCTTTTTGATTGTTATTACCTTGAAAACTAAGTACACAAATAACACAATTTACTGTCCAAATTAATTTAAAACTAGACACTGTCAGATAATCTAGATCAAGACTAGATATAACTGTGTAAAATGTCTTCATTTCTATACGACTAATTTCAAACATTTTTTAAATGTGTAAATGTATTTTACAATCTATGAAGATTACAACAACGTAGACTAATCGATACCCCCCCTTGAATTTAAGTACTAATGAAAAAAAAAACTTCTCTGTGTACCAGTGAAAGGTAATTCACTAAATAATCCTGAATATGAGGGAACGATACTTCTCCCCTTATTGTCATCAGTCTTAGGTATCAGTGAAATACACATGCTGCTCTTAATACTAAATATCAAGGAAAGCTATTCTTCCTAGTACTAAATATCAAGGAAAGCTATTCTTTCTAATACTAAATATCAAGGAAAGCTATTCTTTCTAATATTAAATATCAAGGAAAGCTATTCTTCCTAGTACTAAATATCAAGGAAAGCTATTCTTCCTAATACTAAATATCAAGGAAAGCTATTCTTTCTAATACTAAATATCAAGGAAAGCTATTCTTCCTAGTACTAAATATCAAGGAAAGCTATTCTTTCTAATATTAAATATCAAGGAAAGCTATTCTTCCTAGTACTAAATATCAAGGAAAGCTATTCTTCCTAATACTAAATATCAAGGAAAGCTATTCTTCCTAATACTAAATATCAAGGAAAGCTATTCTTCCTAATACTAAATATCAAGGAAAGCTATTCTTCCTAATACTAAATATCAAGGAAAGCTATTCTTTCCTTACATCCTAAGTAGTGAAAGGTTACTTCTCCGTAATTCAAGTACTTGTAAAAGAACGTTTTCTTCAATTAACATTTTGATAACTATCAACTGTTACTAGATAGCTTTTTGTTTCTCACAACATAAAGAAGGTCAGTCCTTAAGTTCTAATGAGGTGATTTGTTTCACATATTAAGGTTAAAATCAATGAAAATTTTCCCATTCAGAATTACATTAATATCCCTTTCATGAGGATGTATGACAATATTTTGAATGTTCAAACAATGGTTCTAAGATTGAAAATGAAAATGAGGAAAAGCAGGTTGTAAGACATAACCAAAGTGCCATTAAGGTAACCATGGAATTCATATTAGTACCAGAGAACATCCAATTATTGTTATGGGGTGATCGGAAAGTGAATATAGACGCCAAAGAGATTATTCTTGAAAAATTAAATATAATCCTTATTCATGAATATACAAGATCATATAGCGAAAGAGTATATGACTATACTACCGGAGCGACGTCCTTCTATAAACTGGTTAAAACAGTGATGTTTGATGTTATGACAGCAGCCACATTAGTAGATTATGCTACTGTGATAGTGATGAAGAACGATTTTCATTTGGTAAGTTGTATTGTGGATACAATATGATTGGACCTATGCATTGGTATATTCAAACAAAATGAAAAAACCCGTGAGTTCCTGAAAGAAAATTGCAACAAGCACGTATTCAGAGAGGATTGGTATGCAAGCAACTGTGTGGTATACGGGTCCCAGCATCTGAAGTTTCATAATTTGGAAAGACGCCAAGCATTACGTGCTTGTGCAAAACGTCAGCTGCCTTTTGATTTTATATCAGAACCTAAGGAACATGCTGATATAAAACATAATGAATTGCTTGACAAACGTCGACAAAAATGAAGTCGTACATGGAGCACAAGATATGTGTTGTTAACCGACAGGTTTGGAATTGCACAACGTTTTGATAATATAACAGAAAATGAGAAAACTGGCAACGTATGTATAGTCCTAGATTACAAAATTTAGTCCTATGTACTTGCTTAAGAATACTATTGATCACTTTGGGAAAAAAATGGATGACTTAACATGGTGTACACGTTGAAAGAATGTATAAATCTTTGAAGATGAAGAATTGGAAGACCATACCTCATCATGATTACTGTTTTCTGTATTGTAGAAGTGCTTTTATTGTGCTACGAACAAGAGTTTAGTAAATAATGACTGCAATATCTCCAACCTTGTTTCCTTAAAATAGGGATTTGTAGTTTGAATAAATAATGACTACAATATCTCTAGCCTTGTTTCTTACTTTTTTTTATCTCTACTTGCAGGCTTTTAAATTCCAAATTTATTATTTATCTTGTTTGCTGGTTTTTTTATGCCCAACTATGGGCAAAAGAATTACTTGATGTGGTAACTAACTTTATACATTGTAATAGTAATAAACATAGCTAATAGTCAACTGATACAGTTCATGATGATTTACTGTAGCTATTAACTATTTGATCGCATTAGTTTGAGACGTAAAACATTAAGCTGCAGCTGGAAATTGTCATGGAGATTTGTTTGAGAATACAGTGAGCATTTATAGTTTCTCTGTAACTAAATTCTCCACATGTACTGCATAGCAATGAACAAATATATGCCTAGGCTAGGACACAACCCCACTACAAAAACAATTTTGCTAGTAGAAAAGGAACCTTTTCATATAAAACATTGCTTTAAATAAACCTTTGTGTATTGTAAAGTAAGTATTCTATGAATGTGTGTAATAAAATTTAATATTGATTTTTTTTAGTCCTTCACTTCATATATAATATAGGGGTTGGCTCCCTAAAGGCTCTGATTGTATTGTGTACAAAGCATTGAGTATCTACATGTTATAGTTATCTAATGTTTATCTATTATTTCTGTAAGAAAGCTAACTTCAAGAGGTAATGACAACGTCATTTACACTAGAATTATATTTTTTAGCTTATGTAAAATATAAGAAAAACAAATTGACTTTTCAATACCCCTACAATCTTCACAGTACCTTATTTAGTATTATACAAAAGATTTGGGTGCAATATACCAAGCCATTTTTGTTGTAGGCTGGCAAGAAAATATGAAGAAGAATTACAAACGTGACATTTTAGGTGGATTTTCCTTTGATTGTAAGTCTAATATGTGTGTTTTTTTTGTGCATTTGTATATGTATACAGCCTTAGCAGTCAATAGTAAAGGTTTTAAAGTGTTGTTTGAACTCAATCTTTACTGTTTAAGGTGCTTTTCCCCCAAACGTTCTATTAAGGTTTTGTTCAATTCTTTGCAATCCCTATTATGAACCACTATCATGGTTCATGATAAACGAATATATTTATTAGAAAAAAAAATTTCTGTATCATAACATTGCATAAGTGTATAAAAGAGCCCACCTGAAGAAAAGTTTATCAGTTTCTAGTTTAATTGTTGGATTTTTACAGTCCTCTAAAGCTATCTTGACATATAAAAGGTGTTTTCTTTGAGCCCATAGCACTGGAGGAGGAAGAACCCTGAAAAAAAATCAAAGTAAAAAATTTTAGAAAACATACATAGTTATGAAAGTTTAATGGTAAGAACATCCACAATGACAGTAAGTCACTCATTCTACTCCTTAAGCCTGAGCAGATGCTTCTAGCATCTGGCCAAAAATCCTGATTTACTCATCACACTGTGACAGCATCCAATAACATTTATGTCTCTTTGCCTAAAAACTAATCCAAACCATGTTATTATCCACAAAATTAAGAAATTTGAATGATGATAATTATTAGGAAATCATGAAATGAATTCCAGCAGAATGCACACAAAATTACAGGTTTAAAAAGTTAAAGTCACCCCTCTACTCAACAGAATAATTAAAACAAACAAAATGTAGCTCTTCAGAGTACATAAAAATACGTATATCATATGGTATTACTTGAGACATTCATAACTTATAGAACAGTAGTTATGCTTATAAAAAAAATACTGGCAATGATAAATATAAACTCCCTAAAAATGTAAACCGATTTTAGAGAAAGCATCCAAATGGTATACTACTCTGATATCTTCATTTAGCATAAAATAAAAACTGTGTTTTTTGAAATTCAAACCACTGGATTTAAAATTGTTTTAGTGTAATATAAAAGAGGTAATTTAGTTGTTTTTTTATAATAAAAAAGTTTCCAAACATATATTGATCTTAAATTAAAAATTCCTATAAAGAAAACTAAGAATCCTGTATATTTTTAACACATCTAAAGGAATTAAGGCCATACAAACAATAACATCTAAACCTTTTTTTATAACTATTAATAAATAAATAAATATAAATAGAGATTTATAATCAGTCAGCACTGATTAAACAGCAACCAATTAACTGGTAATCAGTACTGGGCCAATATTCCTTTGGTACAATCTTAGTTTTGAGCATTTTTTTTATCTGAAGCTGAAGAAACTGGCATTAAAGATCACTTGAGGCTAATGTTCAAAATTGTTACAGTTTGAACAATCTGCTTATGGTTAGTTTGTTTGAAAGGTGAAAATAAAATGTATAGATGTATAGGACAATAGGTTTAAGCTTAGGAAGCCAAGATGTGAACTCACTCTTTTGAAAAAGTATTTTCCAGTTATAAACTTATGAAGTATTCTGTCTGTTGTTGTGGTTATTGCTCATTAACAAGACATAAAAAGTAAACCCCCAAACATTTTCTTATTTTAAACAGGTATAGACTTATGGTCTAAAAGGCTAAATTCAATGTGGTTTTTTTATGGGTTCTTTTTTAGGTGGGAAAGTGATAAACTTGTTACATGACACCTAAAACATTGTCATAACAGTTAGACTCTTAAGTCTAAGTTCTTATTTTAATCATTTGGACATTCATCTACCCTAGAGACTGAAGATTTTCCAGTATCCTATTCAGTTGACATGTTCTCTCTCATTGTGTACATTGATTATGGTATCAAACTAGTAATGATTCCACTAGATTTATAACAACTTCTAATGTCGTTTAAGTAAATTATAATGTGGGTGGAAAGATTATACTACAAAAATGAAGATTTATAGGTATGTCTCTGGATTATATTGTAAAAAAAAAAAAAGTTAGAAACTTGATGTTGGAGTATCAAATCACTGGAAGCTGACATTATATTACGAAACTCCATAATTTTACACATCTAATATATTTGTACCACATTTTTTCTCCAACACAGGAGTATCTAACTTCAAACTAGTTGGAGGCTAGGTTGTAACTTAGTAATCCAAGTCAGTAGCCAGGTTACTAAATGACAACATAGAATCAAAGACCCTAAAATTATATTCGACTTCCATGACATACATATGTCCACCACATGCAACGGTGCAGGAAGAAGTTGCAAAGTGGGTGTACTTGGCTAGGCATGCAGATTATACAATGAGAAATTGAAAGGTAGCTCAATCTATGTTTTATTTATGGGGGGGGGGGCATGCTCCCCCCACAGAAAATTAACATAATAATAATATAATTTACAATTGCTATATAAATCAAATATGTAACAGTAGGGGTGCTAAAGCACTCTGGTTCCAACACTTCTGACACATTTAGATCTATTTAATAAATAATGCAAGTAATATATAAATATAGTTTGCCTCTTTAAAATGTGCAATAAATGATCTCTTAAATTTTAACCAAGGAAACCTTTCAATCTTAAGGGGTCAGATGAAGCTTGGTAGTTGGTTGCCATTTGACCATCTAACATATTAAGCTCATGATTTCTTCTCAAATAGATATAGTGTTTAAGAAAGACAAACCTATTAACTATTTTTACCCATATTATAACTCATTTAAAAGGCTATAAAATGATAACAAATATCACACTTATTCATAGTAAGAAAGCATATCCTCTAATAGCAATGTGATGAGGATGCCACATACTGATATCTGTGAAACTGAAAGCAAAGTCACTAGGTAGGTGAATGTCCAAATGGTAAATATAAAACCTCAGCCTTAATTCATTAAGACTATACTGTTAACATCCATAAACTATTTGCATATGTACAAGCAAAAATCTAACTTGTACCTTACAATATGAAAAACTGGTAAGAAATGTATGCTGATTAAAACTTCTACCAGTTTAAGCTCTTACCATGCCTTCATTTTTATAAATTATTATGACAGTAATATTACTTGTAGTACTAATTTCTGTTTTATTATATATAATTACTTAGCTTAGACCTAGAGAGGTTTCAGTTTCCCTAACTATATAAAGTTTCCCAATTATAGTCTATGCTTAGTTTAAAATAAACAGTAATTGCATTATTAATATAGTATAAATGTAATAATAATTTGCATTTAAACATCAATGTATTTTGGGTACTGCTAATGCTGTTCTACTAACAGTAATACTACTACTAGTACTAGTTCCAGTACTACTACTAGGGCTGATAACCTATTGCTCATGCTAGAAAATTCTTATTCTGAATGCTTCCTTTTAAGTTTAGTTGTGAATGTGAGTTTAATATAAATCAATAATAGCAATTAAAATTACTAATCACTCATGACTAGCGCCGTTTTTCGGGTCACTTTCATGAAAATTTCTAGCATGCGTAATTTTACATCACACTACCATTCGCGCTCTTTACGAAACTTCTTCCTTCAAATCTATTTCCATGTCAATGTTTCCATATTCTTTGAAAAATGAAAGGTCTTTCCTTTTCCTCCCGATCAACAAGCAAATATCTTTTCTTGAAATATGAATAACATGAATGTGTTATTGACACCCTTTGTTCTCCTGAAGAAGAATAGTCAACTATTCGAAAGCGCTCGAGTTTTAGGTCTTATTTTAAGTCTATTACACTTTATAAGTGATCCTTTGTGCTAACTATTTTATATAAAAAAAACAACACACGAATGGATTGAAATATTTAATTAAATTATCTCAAAATAAACCTTCATTTCGGTGCAATATTGAAATTAGCTTGAATTCTTCATAAACTCTGAATAGTTGGGTGACCCAACGGGTCACGGTGGTCTAGTAACAATTAAAATTACTAATCGCTCATGACTAATAACATTACATTATTTTACTAGGCCTTTTTATTGTTATCTTTACACTAACTTAACGCAGTGCCTAATACTAATAATAGAAATACTATTACTATTAGCAATACTTATAGTATTTTATTTTTACTTATTTTAGTAATAACTGACAAGTTTGAACTTGAAGTAACACTAACGGTAACTTGAGTAAGTGAGTAACACTCAGCACAAGTAACGCTGATAACAACTGATTATAGATAAATCACTTCACTATATCCCACTCACAAAATACGTGTTACCTTATGATTTGATACAAAAGCTTATGAAATGAATTTCAACTTACTCATTTTGATTGTTAGCATTTAAGCAAGTAGACATTTCTTAGAACGTGTGATGTAATCTAGGCCTAATTTCTTTTCACAAAAAAGCTGTATGATGTTGCTAAGCATGTGCAACAATAATAGAACAGTCCCGCTGATAAGTTGAAATTTTTTAACACTTAGATATAATGTTGTATTAAGATCAGTTACAGATAACATTATATTTCAGTAAAAATATTATTAAGGTAATGCTATTAAACTTTTCTATACTTTACCCTAGATTTATATTTTACACCAATTAAAACAATCTCTAACAGTGTGTGTGTGTGTATGTATATACACGTATGTATGTGTATGAACTCAGTCGCTGACCAAGTTGCTCGTTGGATGAGAAATTGTAATTTAAGTTTGCAAGTTCGTTCTCCAATTTAATTTTTAAGTATCATATTTTTTACATCTTCAATAAGACTCTAACAACATTGACTCATCAAAATTATTGTTTCCTAAACAAAGCAGCCCTTCGAACACAATCTTCTCAATTCTAAGTGATGTTATGTACTACTCTCTCTTGATCTGTACACAACTTATAGTGTGCGGAAATTTGGATGATTCAAACAGTCAGTTACGAACGTCATAGTTCACAAGTAGCCTGAAGTTCACTGGCTATAATTATTACATTAACTACTTTACCTAAAGTAAGTGCTTACAACCTGGATTACGAAGAAATAAAACATCCTTATAATCTTGTACAAATCTATTTAGTAAGCTTGTTTTATTCTTTCTTTTAATAAGATCATCAAATTGGTTAGACAGTGGTTAAATACCAAAATATCAAAAAGTATGATAATAAATCAAATTATTGTACTCACCCTAAAAGAGTCTTTGAATATTGCCATGTTGATTATATGTGGTTACATAATTATCTGTATTACAATTCAGTATAAAAATTATTAATCACAGGACATTGATCTTTTAATTCTACATTAACAATAACATGATGAATAGCATATAAACTTCCATAGTTTCAAATATGGAGTAATTTTGTTTTCACGTCTCATTTCGGAGACCGTGGCCTTTTCACAGGTTCCCGTTTTGGACTGGGACTAAATTTTTTTACCTGGCCTATTATGATTGCGACTAAAGACTTAAAAAACAAAAAAAAAACCCTTAACGGGCCTTTTTTGAGCCCGGGTCTAGGGCTACAGCCCCAATAGCCTCACCTTAATTCGCCCCTAACTGTAGATACCCTTGTGAACAAGGGCGCCCGCAGAAAAAAATTAGGGGGGTCAAGTAACTCAAGTTTGAAAACAAATATGAATTCGAAATACAAATACCTTATGATTTTCCAATAACATAGAAGAATAATTTTACATATCTAGTAATTTTTTTCTTTTTGAAAATCAAGGGGGTTCAAGTGATTCCCCCCCCCTTGCCCCTTCCTGCGGGCGTCCATGCTTGTGAATAATAATATAGCATGCTTTTTTTTTTTCTAAGAATTGTGTTGTTTGAAGTAAAAACACAACATCTGGCACAGTGATGAAGTAAAATAAGCTAATAAGTTTGAGATATAGAATCACCTTGAAACCCCATAAGCACATGTGTAGAGCGTTTTTAAAATAAAGCATACGATCTGAATGGTAGAATGTTATCAAAGCTTGTTTTACTCCATCTGAAGTAAGTCGCTTACAATTACACTTAATCAAAGTTTACGACTATTCTTTTACTTCAGGAAAGTTCAATAAGGACGCGCAGATAAAAACCCCAAAGACCCCCCCCCAAAAAAAGGGATTGGGAGTAATAAGTTGTTTGCATTGAAACCCGATATTCCTTCAAAGCTTTTCACTCTTCACAAACGTTCTATTAAAGAAAACAAAATAATAATAAATCTGTGCGCATGCGCAAAACATTTTAATGGGGAAAAAAAACAAAAAAAACGACGATTCGATCACTGATATGCAACCATTCTTAATTAAGTACACAAGTTTTAACGGTAAAATCAAACAATCCCACAATTAACAAATACCCAGACACATCTCTTTCTATATATATATGTGTGTGTCTTTGATAGTTAATTCCCCAGAAATTCCTAATCTTATGCAAATTTTTATGCATAAAATATTCCACATTTTTATATTTATTCATTTTATGTTTGTTTTTCTGTTCAGTCATAAATAAATAATCCGTCAATTCACGCGGATTGATATGCACATGTATAAGTAACTACTATCAGTTCTAAAATTTAAATACATCGTTAGATTGTTGATTTACACACTAAAACCTTCTTTACCGTTAAAACATGTGTACTTGAGAATGATCGCACTGCCCTGCCATGATTTTGCTCTTGACAAGCTTCAACACAGAGGAGATACATTCGCAAGAACAAGGTGTGAATGGCAAAGTTAGTGTCAAGAGAATACGTTCGAATACAAACCTCTATGATCTATTCCATACTACAAGTAAATTGTTTGTTTGTTTTGAATTTCGCGCAAAGCTACACGAGGGCTTTTTGCGCTAGCCATCCCTAATTTAGCAGTGTAAGACTAGAGGGAAGGCAGCTAGTCATCACCACCCACCGCCAACTCTTGGGCTACACTTTTACCAACGGATTGACCGTCACATTATAACGCCTCCAAGGCTGAAAGGGCGAGCATGTTTGGTGTGACGGGGATTCGAACCCGCGACCCACAGATTGCGAGTCGAGTGCCCTAACCACCTGGCCATGCCGGGCTACAAGTAAATAAATCTGATGAAATCCTTTCAGTTTCAGAAGTCGTCCAACTTCTGAAACTGATTGAGAAAATAGCTTGTATTGAGAAACCAGAAGTTCATAGTTGATATTGCTTGCAAAAAATGTGAACAAGGCTTAAGTAGAATTGTTACAATATAAGATTTAAGAGCCATTTTTTAATTGTGGGGAGAAAAAAACTTACCAAAGTAAACTTTGGGACTAAATTCACAAAGAGAGGCTGGCATGATTTGATTGTTAGGGCACTCGACTAGCAATCTGCGGATCACGGGACTGAACCTCGTCACCGAACATTCTCGCCCTTTCAGCCGGTGCCATTATAATATGACGATCAATCCCACTATTCGTTGGTAAAGACTAGCCCAATAGTTGGCAGTGGATGATACTAACTACTTGGTTATCACCCGGTGGGACAGCGGTAAGTTTACGAATGTACAACGCTAAAATTCGAAGTTCGATTCCCAGCGGTAGAAACATCAACTAGCCCGGGGTGGCAGTGCTCTTAAGTCAAACAAACAAACTAGTTCGATGACGAGGAACCCACTTTGAGACTAATCATTACCCATCCAAGCCGTCTCCAGCCATTATTAAACAAACTAGTTGGCTTCCCTCTAGTCTATCACTTCAAAATTAGCTTTGCGCGAAATTCAACAACCAATCAAACACGCTAACGTTCAGAAATATATTTTCATAACAAAATCTTAGTAAACGATACCTAAATATATCATCCGGAAAAACAAACAAATCAATGTGTAATATGACGAAGGCCTGATTAAACAAATAAATCAATGTGTAATCTGACGAAGGCCTGATTAAACAAACAAATCAATGTGTAATATGATGAAGGCCTGATTAAACAAACAAATCAATGTGTAATCTGATGAAGGCCTGATTAAACAAATAAACTACATATTAATTCCATATTTAACACGTGAGCTAAAGGTATTACATTATCTTTCTCAGTAGGGTCTTTATATGAGATGCACGATATCTTTCTGTAGCAACTCATTTCATGACCTGTATCTAGATCTGCTGTGAGGGACCATGTTTCACAAGCATACATAAATATGGATATGACAAGGGGGCGCAACAATCTAATTTTGGAACTAAGAGTCATGTTGTTGTTGTTGTTCCATATTGGTTTCAATCTTGCCAGCTCTGTTGTTGTCTGCGCAATCCTGGAATGTATCTCAGATTTGGAACCCTCATCTATGACAATTGATTCAAGTCTTTGTCCACGTACATTGATCTGAGTGCTGATGCCATTGGTCGATTTAGTCTTTTTGGCACTGATCTCTATGCTGCAAGCTATAGATGTTGTATCGAGGCGTTCCACCGAGCTGGCTAGTTCTTGCTCTTCTCCTGCTAAGTTTTTCAATAATGTATTCCAAACTAACAATTGGCCATAATTCGATACCGTTTTACACACACACACAAATCTTAAATGATTCCCTTAAGAATAAATAATAAAAGTTGAATTGTTTCAAATTAAAGATTACTTCGCGCATGCGTATTAGACAATTGTTAAGGTGTTGGTGTATGTTTGATACTTTTCATTATAATATAGGTCCAGCTTATCTCTCTTTGGTTAACATGTGTTGTACAAGGTTACTGATGAGGAGTGGAATTCTCCAAAACTAGTATAACCCAATAACACACATCGATCAAAGTGTAGATTGAACCGAACCTCCCTTGTACTTAGACTTCGAAATTAAACAAATTTTCGGAATACTAAGTTTATTTATTGTTAAGGTACGGTACTTGCTTAGCCGAAACTAATCGGTATATCAAATTATCTCACTGGGCTAGATCTGATGTTTTTATTACAAAAAGCATTATTCTTCACCCTAATACGGTAATGCTTCAAATGCTATCTCTTCTCGATCTTGACCAAAACGCCTACTTTAGTAGTAACTGTTGGCTGTGACCTGGACTCAGTCGAATGTCACACTTGAAGTTATGGAATTGTAAGCATAATATCGGAACTTTTGTCCCTGCATTCATTATTAAATTATGTGTAGGACATTGAGTGTAGAGTTACAAATCTATATAAATATAATAGTACTGTCTGTAACTACTTCGCAGGATGTGGATGGATCTTCACCAAAATTGGTATGGAGGTTCATTAGGTCCATGGGGGGGGGGGGTACATACAGATTTTCTGTTTCACGTTTTGCGGTTTTTTTTTTATAACTACTTCGCTCCCTGTTGATGGATCTTCACCATATTTGGCATGAAGGTTTGTGGGGTCCATGCGGAGATACATACAAACATTGCGGTTTCACATTTTGTGTTTTGCAGTTTTTTT